TTAGGAAAATGGAACTCTGATGTATTTATCAAGGAAAGTCAGTGCAGCTAGGAAGGAATAACTTCTAAAATTCCACCTATCAATCCAGACTAAGAAGATAATCTTAGTCAAAATAACAGGATCCAGAAACATCTGGTTCTCTAAGCTTTGTTTATCATTACTGAACCTCAGCAAAAGTTTTATCCTGTGATTTCTAGGTGGCCTGGTATTTGTTATAGTGTTCCAGATGTTTTTCCTGAAATCAAGACAGCCACAGGAAATTTGTTTAACATTGTAGTTTTTAATAATGAATAGATATGGAATATTTTTGATTTTCATTTCCTCTCAGGGTCATTTTAGAGCTTGCTTCTTTTCTTTTTTAATATTTACTTATATTACACTAAAATAAAAACACTAAATGTTATAGAGGAGAAGAAAACTTTCACAACAACTCAAAGTACCAGAAGTAAAACACATACTGAGAGACTTGTCTATACTTTGAGTCTTTAGAGATACCCTAGTGTATCTTTAGCTATGGCTCTCCCTGAGACAGAGGGTGTGTCTGGCTCAAAGAAAGAGCTGTTTCCACCTAACAGGGCGAACTCTTTCCTCAGGCTTGGTATCCTCTCCATCACTGGAAGGGGCAGGTCTCTTCCTGGACCCTGCCTTCTTGACCAAGAATTCCTCAGTCACTTCCGAACTATGATCAGAAGCCTTCCGGAAAAAGTCTTCAACCTCCTGTTTGGTGATTTTGCTGTCCGTTTCCAGAGGATGAGTCAGCTCAAATTTGAACATCCTGTCTTGGGGGTCTTGCCAGTGCTCCAAGATGGTGTGATTTCCCTCAACCAAGGGGCACATGTCCTTGTTGTGGGTTAGGATAACAGGAGTCTGGTCAATCTTGGTGGAGGATTTGCCTTTCTGATGCACAGGGACCTTGCTGCTCTAGAGAATGGCCTTGGCGGATTCCACCTTCTTGAGTGTCATCTTCCCCTCTTCCCACCAGATAATCATCTTATCGTGGCAGTCAGTGAAGGGAAACTTCTCATTGGTCCAGTTGACACAGCCATAGGCCGTCATGGCCTGGGCAATGGCCTCAGCCATCTTTTTGGTGGTAGTGAGGCCAAACTGGTAGTTTAGCTCAAAATGTGAAGATGGAAAAAATGTGATACTTTTTCAAACTGAACAAAGAATTTTGGATTAAGTTTTGTGATTCTTTTTCATTCCTTCAGAATTTCCAACTGAACTTTATTGGCAATGATCAGTTGAGGTTGTTCAATTTCACTCGAAACCTAGTCACTATTCTCTGGCAGATTCCATGTGCTCATGGCAATCTAGTCAACAAAGCTGTCCGAACTCTTGGAAAGATGTTGCTCTACATCACTAGGAATGCAAAAATCATATCATAGGGCTGGGGATTTAGCCCAATGGATCTGTCGCTTGCCTTGCAAGCTCAAGGACCTGAGTTCGATCCCCAGTACCAAAAACAAACAAACAAACAAACAAACAAACAAACAAAAATCATATCATAGAAGTGAACCATGTTGATGCCTCTCTCTCCACGGAGGGAATGTCTCTCACTCTCTCTTTATAAGAACTTTGACCTCTTTTAAAATACTTTTGAAAACTATTATATTTATGTGATAATTAAATATTATATATATTATATGTCTTGTATTTTGTGAAAGTAGTATTTTTAAGTGTGCCTTCTGTCAGGCTTTGCGAAACTATGCATAATGTCGTATTTAAACTTATTGAAATAATCTCTTTTATATTCCAAAGTTCTTCACTAGACAGAAGAAAATATGTATTTTGCTTTTATTTTTCCAGACTTACAATAGTCATAATAAAAGTCTTCAAATGTGGGAATTAATAGAATAAATGAATGAATGGTGAAATTAAATAAGATTTTAGTTTCTCTTCTATGAGCTTATTAAAATTGCAGATGTATAGTCTCACTTGATCTTAGGCAAAAGACCAAGAAGCAATACAGGTGGATAATCCATATGCGTACATGCATATGCCTAGTTTTTTGAAAAGAGGAGGGAAAATAAATTATTTTGAGAAAATGTTTATGCCAATACAAGATCAAGTAATCATATGGGTTCTTTACTACTAATCATCATTAAAAAAAAAAAAAAAAACATGGGCCAGGGATTTAGCTCAGTGGTTCTGGGACCTGTCTCACAAGCTCAGGGTCCCGAGTTCAATCCCTGGTACCAAAAAAAATTTTTAAAAACAACAAAAAAACCCACTACTAATCATCAATGTAAATTATTAAAGTATTGTCTGAAAACACACTGCTCTGTTCCCATGTAAAATTGCCATAGCTGCAGAATTTATATGTATTTCCATAGTTTTCTAGACAAATGTGCTTATTCAGTGCCATTGAGACCACCTGGATTTTCAGGAATATGCTTTCTTTAGTACTTAGAGATGTTTCTTTTAACTGCCACTAGGAAGTTATCAACCCCCATTCAAGGCAGGTGCCAAGCAATGTTTTTGTTAATGTGAACTCTTGAGAGAAACAGAAACTCGAGTATTTTCATACAATTTTAAAATCATAGCAAAAAGATGTTTTTTAAAAAAGTAAAATTCTTTCTCAAGAGACTTTTGTTTCTTGATATTGTTCAAGAGAGGACTGTTTTGAAAATGCTGACACAACCATAGCAAAGGCATCCAGAGGGAAACATATACTAAGTTTATTTATCTTAGAAACCACAAGAACATTGCAAAACCCTAGAATCAGCACTGTAAAATGTATTACTAACATGTACAGTAGGATTGCTTAGTTTGGATAAAGTCGAGTTGTGCTGACAAAGAAGATCCACAAACTCTATTCTGTCATGTCCAGCATTGATATCTACAGGCCAAGCCCCAGTGAAACACTAAGGTCCTACACCTGAGTTCTCCTTGATAACTCTATCTGGAAGTGAATATGTATCTCAAAATAAACAGATCAGAAACCAGGTTTTCAATGTCTACATTTCCCATCTTGTCTTCCTCAGTCTTTCCCATCTTAACACATGATGATTTCATCCTTCTGCTGGCTAAGCCCAACATTTTTGGAGTCATCTCTGTTTCTATTATTTCTTTCTCTTGTCCCTTCTGAAGGCTCAGCCATCATGTTCTTTCTATCTTCAAACAAATCTGTACACTGATGCCTTCTCAACACCTCTGTATTCCAAGTCAAAGTCACCATCATCTCTTGCTTGCATATTTCAATAGCAACATAAATACCCTTGCTTAGCCGATGCTATCCCTCTACAGTCTAGGCAGCCAGAGCACAGTCATCTAAGACTTTATCAAGACCTTTCATCTTGCTCAGAGTAAAAGCTATGATTTCGAACTGCCTAAGAAGCATTATCAGATTTGCTCTTATTACTTCTCTGAACTCACATAAACCTTGTTTCTCCTTGCTTATTTTATTGCCCTCAGATTTTCTCTCTCTGCTGTTAGTGCAACTTTTCTTGACTTGACTTGCTCCTTTCTATCCCTGTGTCTCTGTTCAAATGTCCTTTCTATTGGAAAGATTCTTCTTTAACCATTTTATCTAAAATATCAAGTTCACTTTGTCTCATTCCTTATTCCTCAGTCTTATCTTAATTTTCTCTGTCCTTCACGTGAAGGAATGTCATGCCTTGGAATGTTTCCTGCTTAGCTCTGAGGAGCATAAGGAAAAGAAAATATTCATTATTGTGTCTATTCATTACTAGATCATCAATACCATCAATAAGTATTTGTGGAATGAAGGAAATAATATATACTGTTAGACCCATTAACCCAGGAGAAGTTGTTGAATTGTTTAAATATTTTGAGTGCATTTTTAAACTGATTTGTAGTCCCATGGTTACTGCTGGTGACCTGAAAGTGTAAACAGGACCCTCACAGTTTATTGAAGTGTCCTGGGGAGAGAGTCTCCTGATCCTTAATGCCTAACACATTTCTGGGGATTGTATCCTCAGAGGGCATCTTGCCCAGTCTTTTTCTGGTGTCTTACATGGGGGATTATGACTTTTCTTTTTCTTCAAGATTATTGAACTTCATTGGAAGCTTGTTTTACTTGGAAGGTTGTTTACAATGGTATGTGATTTTAATAAGTTTAGTGTTTTTCTTTTCTTAATCTTACTGCAACAAGAACTCAGCAACCTATCATTCCTGCACTGTGGGATATTAGAGTTGAAGGATAAAGGTCTTCTAAGGAGTTCTGTGTCTGTGCAGGGACTGACTTGGACCAGGACTGGCTAGAACACTGGGTGAATGAGAAATGGCTAAATAAGATGTTCTTAGTTTACTTGAGGGATTAGGCATTTCTTCATTTGCATGAAGATGATGATATTCTACATCTGCAGCAGCAATAAAACCTGGGAATAAAGGACTTTGTTGTCATGGCATTATGGAAAAGAGAGAAAGAAAAAAAAATTAAAAGGACAGTGGGAATGATTCCATGAAATGAATGGACTAGAAGGAAAGCAGAGACCCATTTTATATTTGATTTGTGTGATAAGAATGACATAGCAACATTCAATGTCAGATCCATGTTATTATTTATGTAAATCACATATAATCTAACGAAAGTTTTAACAACATTAAAACAGAAATAAATATGTTTATAAAGAAAAAAATGGATGTTAGTGATTCATTTGAAAATTTGATTTGGATCTCCCCAAAAAGATGTTCAAGATGTAATTCCTAGAACCTGTGAATGTGACTTCATTTGGAAATAGGTCTTTGCAGATGTAATCAAGTTAGCGAGGGCTCATATTAAATAAAAGTGAATCCAAATGCAGCATAGCTATTGTCCTTTGAGCAGAAGAGTGGAGACACAGACACACAAGAGAAGAAAGTCATGTGTAGATGGAAGCAGAGATTTGAGACATCCTCCCATACAGCTAGGAAATCCTGGAGATACACAGCACTACTGGAAGCAATGATGCATCCTCCCTGAGAAGTTTGGGAATAGCATGGCTATCTGTGTTAGTCAGGTTTCCATCAGTATAACACTGATACCTGAGATATTCAACTTAAAAAAAGAAAAGGTTTATTTTTGCTCACAGTTTAGCAAACTGTAATGTTTAGATTTATTTTTCTAGAATTTACAATCATAAAACATTCACATTTGTATAAAAAGCCCTGTTTTTAAATTTTTGCTTCTAAGTATAAATGTATTACTCAGAATTCTAAATCAGCCCATCCCCCAGGCTATTTGTTTTGATAGATGCTTCCAAACCCTAAGGCAAAGGGTTTTTAAATTCATAAAACAATTAATGTTTCTAATACATCTAGTAATTGTAGAAATGCTCAGGCAAGTAGCATGACTATACTAATAATAATTATACATTTTCTTTAGTAAATTAGTAACTAATCAGAAATAGTAGTTTTGTGTTTTATAACCTAACATTGCATGTAGATAATGGAAAAAAATCATCCTCAAATATCAAAAACAAGAAAAGAAATGGCTGATTACCTGAAGATATATGCTATTGTTAACTCTTTTCAGAAAGCTGAATTTAGGGAATATTTACAATTAAACTTTTATGCAATATCAATTTTGAGTGCATTTTTAATTTCAAAAATGCATTTGAATGCATTTTAATTTTCAAAATAAAGACATTAGCAAAATTTTTACATAGCCTTACTGATTTCACATATTCAAATAAGGTTTTACCAATAATAATGGAGATTAATACAGAGCATTTAACTTTACATCAAAGGAACTAATTGCCCTATGAATTACAGAAAAAAAGGATACTCTTTTATTTTGTTCCTTTTAAAAATTAAAAGAAAAAAGCTTTAGTAAATTTTGACATGTAAATATAATTTCTCCAAGTTTTACATTTGGTGAAATAAAGATACGGATAGTAACTCAATTAACATTAACAGCAGCCTTCAACAAATGATTCTGAAGATGGCAGGCAAAATAGTTTTTTATTGTAGGCAATTACTTGAACCACATATTTAGCTCTATGTATAATAAGTCATGTGGGAAAAACACCCACAATAGAGTTAAGTTTTCAGTACCTAGTATTCATTCTCTTATTTATTTATTTATTTATTTATTTATTTATTTATTTATTTTAGCAATGACATTAACAGGATTTTGCCAGGTTACAAAAATAAGGGCTTTCTTGGAGTTACTTGTAGTTTCCGAGCTGAACGGCAGAAGGCACATAGATACATCTGAAGGTGGATGGCTGGATCTCCCAGTACTGGACTGGGTTGCTGAAGAGACTCACACCTGAATAAGAAGCCTTTTTGGTGTTGAATCCAGGTGGGCAAAAATCATTTGTTCCAACTGTAGAGATATTGTTGTTATGAAGGTAGACGACCTGCGACATGAAATAATGGAGAATGATTATTTTCCCCTAAATATATTGACAGATTTTGAGTAAATATTCTTTTTAGTCTTTGAAATTCTTCATTTGGAATATTTTAACACTTCTCAAACCAAACCTTTGATCTTACTCTTCTTTTCCAAACTTCTTTAGTCATTGTCATCCTTGTAAATTGTATGGCAATCATTCCATGTACTCAGATGATAGACCTTGTCATTATACCTGAATCTTCTCTTACATTCTCTACAAGATCATCAAATCCTGCTAGGTTAACCTTCAAAATGTGCACATAATCCAGCTGGTATCTTCATTCTTACTCCTACAGCATCATCCAAGCTTCTGGTTTTTACTTTCTCTATTATTAAGGTAGCCCTGACTGGTCTTCCTACTTCTGCCTCTGACTTTCTAAATCTTATTGTTTTAATTGACCTCCCAGAGCAGTTCTTTCAAAAAGTAAGTGATATTATGTCTTTTCTGCCTTGGTGTTCCAGTGGTTGTCTTTATCAAGCACAAATATCAAGTTCTCACCATTGCCTGCAAATTCTACATGCTCTGACATTCTGCTCTGAATCCACCTCACTGTACTGTTCCATCCAACCATCCCATTACTTGCTTTTCTTCAAATACACCAACAAGGTCAGTCTGGAGGATGTGAAACCTGGCCTTCCTCCACATGGAATAATCTCCTCCAATATATCTGCAAGGCATGCTGCTTTTGGTAACTGCTGTCCTATTACCAGAGAGGTCTTCCCTGATCATTACAATCTAAAATTCTCTATCCCAATTACATGTCTTTATTGTTTTCATGGTAATTGTCACCATGTCACATATTATGTGTTTATTTAATTTTGTCTATTTTCTTCTAAAATCATGTGGGGATCTATGGCCCCATGAGCCAAGAGCCTGTCTTGTTTCTTTAAGGCTGTATATCTAGGAGCTAACTAGAACAAACTAGATGCTCACTAAATATCTGTTTATTGACTAAATATTGTTTATATAGTGGGTCTACATGAACCATATCAGATTATGTGGAATATTATGTTTTCAGTGCAAAAATCCTAGCTTTTAATAAATTTATGTAGAATAAGGAACTGTGTAATGAAAAAAGAGCATACAGTATTAGAATTAAAATAAAGAATGACAAACTCCAACAAAATTTAATTATCACAGCATTTGATAAAAATACTTAGAAAGTTTTAATCAAAACTTATTCAGTTTTAAATTTTACTCTAAGAATATTGACCTATAATTTGTTAAAATTTCCTTTTCTGAAATTTCTTTTTCTGATCATCCTTAAATTAATGTTTACCTCTTTTAGATTTTCTTAGGATTACTAGATATCAAACTTGTAAAAAAATTGCATTAGAATTAAAATTTTTCAAAAATTGCCTTAAAATATTGCTCTACCTACCAGAAAATCCATATCTATATATTAGTAAAAAATGCCTTATTAATGAAAATATTTAAAATAGAAATGAAAAAACAGAAATGAGTGATATTAAAATTAAAACAATATTTGTGAGAATTTTTTGCAATTCTTAAGTTTTGAAAAATTGTATTATCATTTAGTATCCTCTATATCCTAGGAGTAATTAGAAAGAAGAGTAAAATATGTTTTGTCAGAATTAATGGTGAATATTGAAAGTCAGAGAAGAAGCTATAGATGCATAAGGCAAGCAGTAGTCAGTGTGACAGAGTTCAGCAGGTTCTCAATTCACCCTGACGTCAATATTTTCTAATACCAAAGCCAGACCAAAACAAAGTAAAACTATAATCAAATACCTCTTTGCTCATAAATTTTAAAAAGTTTTATAAAATGCTGCATTAAGAAATTATACAATTTCGCTGACTGCTACGCAAGCGCAAGGACCTGAGTTCGATCCCCGGTACCAAAAAAAAAAAAAAAGAAACTATACAACAAAAAAATATGCTCTGACAAAACATCATTTATACCAAGGATGTTAAACTGATTAACATTTGAAAATCAATCAATACAATAAACCATGTTAAAAGAATAAAAGAAAAAAGATCACATGATTATAGAAACAAAAAAAGCTATAAATAAAATTAAACAATATTCATGATAAAAATTTCTAATAAAATAGTAATAGGAGGGAGTTTCCTCAGTTTAATAAAAGCCTGCACAGAAATACCTGACATCATAATTAATGGTAAAAAGTAAATATCCCCTTCTAAATTAGGAAGTAAGACAAAGTTGTCTGAGTTCATCCCTTGTATTGAACAGTTCACTGAAGAGTATAATCAATGGGTGAAGACCAAAATGAAAAAAATATAAAAACTTGAATCCAGATTAAAAAATAATTAAAACAGTTTTATTTCTCAAATGACATAAACTTAACTATAGAATATCCAAACAAATACACAAAGGTTAATAGAAGTAAAAACAAGTTCAGCATACTACTAGGACAGAGCATTAATATATGAGCAACATCAGTTGTATTTCTATATATGACAACAAAAACTAAAATTAGTATCAGTTTGCGCAAAACAAAATTGAATGAAAAACTTTGATATGAATTTAAATAAACTGCAACACTTTTATTCAAAAATGAAGAAAAAAGATTGTTGAAAATGATTAAAGATGCATAAATAAATATTTCTTGTTTCTGAATTTAGAAATAATATTATTCATCTAAGCATTTAACACAATCCCTTCTAAAGTCCTGGAAGAACCTGTTTTCAGAAATTTACAATGTCGTCTTAAACTTCAAACATGCAAATGAATCAGAAGAGTCGAAACAATTTTTAAATAGAACAGAATTGGAGAACCTAAACTTCCTAATTTCAAAAATCAATACAACCTGTTCCCCTTCCATATAAATAAGTTCTTCTTTGTTCCTAGTTTCTATGCCCATTATGCTCCTTATTTACCCTTTGGGTTTCTCACACAAGAGAAGAAAGAAGTGCAATATTTAAACTTGTGTGTCTGATTTGTTTCACTTAAAATTATGCTTCTCAGAAGAAGGGAAAAGGAAAAAAAGAAGAATGAAAGAAAAAATGGAAAAAAGCTGGTGTAAATAGAGGAAGAAGAGTTGAAAAGAGAGGAGGGGAATGTGGAAAAAAGAATAAAGATATATTATGGGTAGGTACAAATTCCCTATGATGAATGTGATTGATATGTATGACATATACTAATAAAAAGTGAAGTTAAGAAATGTTTAAAAATCA